CAGAAACAGACTCACAGACATAGTAAACAATCTTAAGGTTACCGGGGTAAGGGGGTGAGAAGGGATAAATTTGGGAGTTTGAGATTTGCAAATGATAACCACTATATGTAAAAACAGATAAAACCAAATTTCTTCTGTATAGCACAAGAAAGTATATTCAATATCTTGTAATAACCTTTAATGAAAAACAGTATGAAAATGAATGTATGTGTGTGTATATATATACACACACACGCACATATATATGTATACATATATATATGTGTATATATATATATGGCTGGGACATTGTGCTGTGCATGAGAAATTGACCAGTTGCAATGGACTATAGTTTAATAAGAAATAAAAATTTAAAAATTTAGAAAAAATTATGTTTATACTATACTGTAGTCTTTTAAGTGTGCAATAGCATTATGTCTAAAATAAAAATGTACAAACCGAAAGTGAAAAATACTTGATTGCTAAAAAGTGCTAAGCATCCTATGAGCCTTCAGCTGGTTGTAACCTTTTTGCTAGTGGAGACTTTAAAATATTGTGAGAAGTATTCAAATGTGACACAGAGACATGAAGCGAGCAAATGCTGATGGAAAAATGGTGCTGATAGACTTGCTTAATACCAGGTTGCCACAAACCTTCATAGATTTGTAAAAAGTGTAGTATTTGCAAAGCGCACTAAAACGAGATATGCCAGGATAGGAAATTCCAAGCCAGGCAGAGAAAGCAGAGCCCGGCGGAGGGGTCTGGGTGGGATGCTAACTCTGGGATTGGCCAACACACGTTCCACCTGTTCCGTTGCTACACTCTCTCCCCTGGTGTCTTATTTGAGAACACAGTCTCTAAAATCCGGAGAGCCTCTTTTTTCTTAATTCTGAAGCTTTTACCCAGTGAAAACTGATTTCATTCTCTGCTGACATTTTGTAGCAAATGATATTTACCTTCTTTATGGCATGTTTGCATTACCTTGCTTTTTTAATTTTTTAATTGAAGTAGAGTCAATTTACAATGTTGTGTTAGTTTCTGGTAAACAGTATAGTGATTCTGTTATATATATATATATATTCCCTTTCCTATTCTTTTTCATTAAACACTGTTATAAGATATTGAATAGAATTCCCTGTGCTGTATAGCAGGACATTGTTGTTTTATCTATTTTATATATAGTAGTTAGTATATATAAATCCTGAACTCCTATTTTATCCCTCCCCACACCTTCCCCTACCCAGCCTGGTAACCATAAGTTTATTATCTATGTCTGTGAATCTGTTTCTGTTTTGTAAATAAGTTCATTTTTAGGTCCATCCATGCTGCTACAAATAGCATTATTTCATTCTTTTTTATGGCTGAGTAGTATTCCACTGTATAAATACACCACAACTTCTTTATCCAGTCATCTGTCGATGGACATTTAGATTACTTCCATGTTGTCTTGCCTATTGTAAATAAGGCTGCTATGAACATTGGGGTGCATAAATCTTTTCAAAATAGAGTCTTCTCTGAATATAGTCCCAGGAGTGAGATTGCTGGATCACACGGTAATTCTATGTTTAGTGTTTTGAGAAATTTCCAATGTTTTCCATAGTGGTACCAAATTACATTCCCACCAACAGTGTAGGAGGATTTCCTTTTCTCCACACCCTCTCCAGCATTTATCAGTTGTGGACTTTTTAATGATGGCCATTCTGACTGGTATGAGGTGATACTGTGCCGTAGTTTTGATTTGCAAGCATTATCCCGTAATTTGATTACTTTTGTAATATTTTAACACTCCCACTGGACTATTCTTACTCACCTTTAAATATACAGTATATAAACATAGGACCTTACATTTGTTGAAAAACAATGTTCATGTGCGCATGCATGCACAAACACCAAAAGACTAGAAGGAAATAAACAAAACGGTGAAAATTGTTTTCTTTGGCTTAAAGGCATTCATATGATTTCCGTTTTTTTCCTTATACTTCTCTTTACTTTTGAAAGTGTCCATCAGAACATGTATTACCTTTTAATAAAAAATACAATAATATATTTATTTGATCAGAAATACAAATAGTTGATCACATCCTTCGCCAAAGGGACTTTAGGCCCTTTTTTTCACAAGGTACACTCGAATGAGATCAATGAAACATAAATCACTTACCATCCAGAGTTATTTTCTGGAAGGATAAATAATCTTAGTATATAATGAAAACAGACTCTAGTAACATCTTTCAAGTTGTTTGCAAACTAATTTTTTCAGTAGAATTCTGTTTTCAGACGAAATCTTACATGGAATCTTCATATTTAAAATCATTTTACAGCAAGGTGCAGGTTTCTCAGGTGGTTTAAGATCTTTAGTAAGCGAAGCAGGCAGTCTAAAATCTTTAGTGATTGGAGCAAATAGACACTTCCTTGGTTAGAAAAATCCCTGAATCACCCCTTTTGAACCTCAGGATTCATCGAGTCCAACCCTCTCATTTTATCAGAGAGGAAACTGAGGCACAGAGAAGTTATAAATGCCTGTCCAAGATCACTCAGCTAGTAACTAGAACCTACATCTCCTAAGTCTAAGGTTCTGGCAGTTACTCTTATTTGGGATTATTTCAGAGTGTTTCTCTTCTCTGACCTAACTCCAGATTGTGACATACATCCAGTTTGAATTGGAGAGTCTCTACCCTCTGCTTCCACCTTAGCCTTCAGTGTCTAAAGTCTTGTTTTCATTTCAGACCCCAGAGAAGGCTTCCCTGCCATGAACATCTATCACCCAATGGCTGTTTCCTGACTTCCCCGGGCTTGTTCTCAGTGCCTGGCGTGTTATCACACCATGTGCTCGTTACAACGTTGCTCTTCTTTTCACAGACAGTGAAGATGTGTTTGAACCTGAAAGTACTGACGTCTTCTCTGTCTGTTTCACCTTTGGCCTGATTTTGCAGCTGAAAGCACCTCAGCCTCCACGTCTCTAAATTTACCGCCCCAGGTTGAGCAGCACATCTGGATCTTCTCCTATTCTGTTTTCTCTTTCTTGCCCAACCCAGAGGGAAAATCCTTGAGTACGTTCTATCTCAGTCTTCTAAGAATAATAAATTGGAGTGGTACATCGCTCTCTTTTTCTTTCCCGGACAAGAGCCTACAAGGTAATGATGTAAGACAACAAATGACTAACTGCTGAAATGAGCAGAACAGGCCATACCAGCTTGGGTGGTTTAGAAAAAGAAAGATCAATAAAGGTGAGAATAAACAGGGAAATGCTTCTGAGGAAGGCAGCCCTTCTTGGTACCCTCAGATAGGCAGTTAGGAGGGGGACCATGTAGCAAAAGCATAGTCTGAAAAACAGCAAGATTGACCAGGATTGAGAAAAAAGTAAAATGTTTGTACAGAGGACTCATGAAAGTCCTTTTGGCTGGAGCTTAAGGTGCATTATTTTATACAGTATACTAAAATAATTAGAGTCACAAATCCTTCAAAATTTCTAGTTTTGATCTAATGGATGGGTGGCGACATCCTTCTCCTTATTTGTTGGTGATTAAGTGAGCCTTAGGTAAAACCAAGAGGTAGGCAATAGTTTATGCAGCAGAAGAGATCAGCCAAGCTTTTCTTTGAACCTAAAAATACATGACAATGTCTACAACAATTTCTTTGATCTAGTAGTCAGTGGCCACCGTCTCTTTGTGAAAAATCATGGTAGCTGCCTACGACCTGAGGTTAATCTCAAAAAGTTTGGGCTCCTTTCCTGCCTCACTTCTCTCTATATATGTGTTAGAACTTTTTATTTGCAAGTATCAGAATGCCCAACTCAAATGCAACTAAAAGATCACTTAGTCCCATAATTTACAAAGTAGAGTGCACGGGAATCTTGACACCTTGATTCATTCTTGAGAGAAAATATTAGGATATATATTTTTTCTTTTTACTTAAATTTTTTTAAGGATTTATATGTTTACTGTAAACTTTAAGAAAGAAATAAGCTCATTATTTAGCGAATGGCTTCACAATAGCATCTATATGACTTACAATAAACATGTATTAGAGGGTAAATGCTGAAAGATTTTTTTTAACTAATAGGACAGTAACATAAAAAAATTTAAAAAGTTGAGAGACCAGTGACCTCACCCATTCCTCTTACTTCACAAGTGACCCCAGAGAAGAGAACAACTTACCCGAGATCCAACTATGAGCAGAACAACCTGGTTGCCGATGGGAGACAGGGTGAGATGCCCGGAGCTAAGTCATTTAACCCCGCAGTGTCTCAGTTTCCTCATCTTCGAAGAGAAAATTATGAGATCTCCCAAGTAAACTTGGTGTGAGCGTTAAATTAAATAAGAGCATATTAAAGAAGGGAGCACAGTGCGTGGTCCAATTTAAGGGCTCAATCAGTGCTAGCTCTCTTCTTCAGTGTCTCAGTAGAGGTCTTTCT